AATCTACTTTCATTGCTTTTACCGGTTGTTTGGCGCAGATAGTCTAGCTGCTTTGCGCCATAAAACACCAACCAACCAACCTGAAAACATAATCAAATGAAGTTTATTAGTGTAATAAAATATTTAGATAAAAAACATGAGTCGGCTCCTTTTGGCAACAGATTTTGCAACTAGTTAGCTCGCATCTCTTATCAATAAAACATTATTATGCTTATAAGTTTCATTTGGTTTGTTTGTAGATAAACAGCGTAATGTGCATTAAAATAAATTATAACCATGTACAATTTCAGTTGAAATATATTTCAGTACAGTAGTTGAACCTAAAGATCACTTGTTCATGTCTTTTATCTAGTGTTCTCAGTCCTGTGGAAAAGGAATACAGGTCAGGGTAGTTACCTGCATCAATCTTGTTAAACTTCAAGTTCCTTTACAACACTGCAATCCTTCTACACAACCTGCAAGAATGCAGTTATGTTTTTCTCATCCATGCTGGACTTCTGAGTACCAAACTCGTTGGTATCTTGGCCCATGGGGTTCTGTAAGTGTTTTTATACTGAGATATATAACCAGTTTTATAAAATAAAGTATTGTGAAAACCTAGCAATAAAATTAGGCTTGTAAATATTACTTATATTGTTTTCTTTATCAGATTAGATAACAAAAAATCATGCTTTTATATTTTTTTTTACTATTTCATTACATCAGCACTATATCAATATTCAGAGAAAATAGGTTCAAACATGCTTTCATTTTATGATATGTATTACCCTCTGAATTGACCAGTTATTTATAACTAAGACTGTATTAAAATAATTCAGCAAATGAAAATGTTTTAAGTATGATTAAGTTCAATCAAACACATCTTTATTAAATATTTGGAGAAATAGTAAGTTTATTTTATGTATTGTAAGTCAACCTATGTGTAATGTTATGAGCTACAAAACTAAAAGGTGAAGAGAACATGAGCTCTACATCTTTTTCTGGAAAGCTTGGAACACACCTTCACAGTGAAGGTGTGTGATTTAAAGTTGGTGTGTAAACAAACATTATAAACTGCATTCCATGGTTTTGAGTTTTAAAATTGGCAATAACACATAAATAGTCATTCAAAAAAAGGTGCTCAAAATATTTTTCATAATTGTTCTTTTCCATGAATTTTCATAAATAATTTACTAGTTATATGTGAAATTTGAGTCATATTATATTAATTATTGTCCCCTAATTAAGCACACTCAACTCACAGTTATCAACTGTAAAGCACATTTTGAAGTGGAGTTCATTTGAAAACCAGCTACTAATTTGTTTTTCCTATTAAAAACCACTGGGTTCTTCTAGAAGGATATAAATACTTTTTTTAAATATTGGAAGATTCAATTTCATTGTTGTATTTCTAAGTCAAAGGATTATTCATGAACCAAACATCACTTTTTAATTCACTGTAAAATTAAATGACATGTAAGATGCATACTGATATGATTTGCCTTATTGGTAATTGTAATGGTGTATTAGATATTTGTATGTAACATTTCATTATTGGTAATTGTAATGGTGTATTAGATATTTGTATGTAACATTTCATTATTGGTAATTGTAATGGTATATTAAACATCTGAATGTGACATTTCATTTGCAGCATCTTAGTTAAAAAATCATATATATTTAGTAGATATCAATTGATTGTATTTTTAATAAGAAAGATTTGAAAAAACTGAATTCTAATCTTAATTTTTTTTGTCTTATGAAACTTAGGGATTAATATGATTACTTAGCTTTTATTATTTTAGTGTTCAGTGAGTTGTGGGTCTGGAATTCAGCTTCGGGAAGTACTGTGTGTTAACCAGTTGGAAAAGTTGGTTTCTTATGATCACTGTGATGGACCATTGCCTGAAACTCAGCAACAATGCATTCAACCATCTTGTCCTGAGTGGATATTGACTAATTGGACAGAGGTAACTTTCTTAGACAGGATGAATATATCAGTTGATAGACTATAAAATGAGTTACTCATATTTTTAGTTGTATAAGATTATATATAAATTTCTAAATATATTAATAATTTTCACAATATAGTTTCATTGTAAGACAGTCTTTACTGCCTGATGAAAAGCATCTGCCCAAAATAAAACTATAAAAGTTTTTATTGTTTTTATTTAGATGTCAATTTATTCTTTATTATTTTTTATCCAAACATAATTCACAATAACTACGTTCAGCCCCTTTGGCCAATATACAGCCCACCATGAGTGGGATGAAAAGAAACAGAAAGTTTCTGAGCATGCCCGATTGTCTTCCGTAATTGAGAAAGGGGTTTGCAGTTTTATTGGCTTGGTAGTGTTTTTGGCAACAAAGAATTGACTGGGGTAGAATACAGTATGTGTGTCGATATTCCCATCTTATTAGTTTTTGATAAAATAATGTGACCAAGTACTGCATTTCATTGTTATTTTTACTTGTCTTATTTGATAAAGGTTATTTAGGATTACCTCCCCTATGTCTGTAAGAAGTTGAAAATATTGTAGATATTCAGGAGAATTAGTAACTACTGTCTTTTTTCAATAAGTGATTATTGTTTTGTTGACAGATGGCACCTCACAAGGTCATATATATATATATATATATATGTAACTGTTTAATCTGTGTTAATAAAATTAGAGCCCAATAATGGGAGTAACATTGTTTTCTGCCTGAAATATTCTGACTTGAAAGTACATTATAATTCAGTGTCTTTGTTAAACAGAAAAATATTGCATATAAATACTTCTTTCATCAGAGATAATGTACATATTTATGTGGTTCAGACCATGGCCAGTTTTCAAGCAATTAAAAAGAAATATTATAGGTTCTTTCATACACTATTATTCAAGAAAATAGCTGCTTGGATGTATAAAGCAACATCAAGTAACCACCTTTCTACTATTCTTCCAGAAATTATCTAGTTATAGTATATAATATAGCAGATATAGTTGGTTGTGGTAAATAACATAACACCTAGAAACTACATGTAGATTATTCAACAAGCAAATAGCTGGTCACATTCTATAACATAGCACCTAGAAAACACTTCTATATATTATGGTATTCCTTGACAGTATCTTGTAACTATAACAAATCCCCTATGTAACGTTCAATACATATCTTCCTAGCAAATCAAACTCTCAAAGACCAGTGCAAAAATTCATATCAATTCCTCACTGCAAATGATCTGTACTGTCTAAAGACACATAAAGAACTTTTGGCATATACCCTACTAGAGGATGACCTAGAAACATACACTGACTACATTATGAGCTGAAAGAATTAACTTAAACAAACTATCTAGCTTAATGTTGAACTTTTGATAATCATGCATGTTGAATGGCAGTTAAAAATCATACCATTGACTGTCATTGCAATAGTACATTTTTCTAAATAAAAGTAAAATTATTCTAAACAAATGTGAAACTGTAATTATAACATTTATACTGGAAGTTTAAATAACTACTTCATCAGTTCTCTTTTTAGTAGACTTATCTTTTGTAAAGATGTTTAATTTCCTCCTATAACTCTTAAAGAAAGAAATTAATCAAATGTAGTCAGGCCCATATGCAGAATGTTTGAAAAGGAATTTCTAATTTGTGAGACCAAAAGTCAACACATATTATGCAAAGCACAATCAGCGTACTAATGCTACGGGGGTCTGGGACATGCCCCTCATAAAATTTGTGAGAAATAGATGCTATGAGATGAATAATTTTTCATGAAATAGAGCTTAAACAATTGCATGGCTGTTCACGTAAAATCCACAAACATCCAATGAAAAAATCAGCAAATCATCATTCTGTTGTAACACTGCATGGGGAACTAGACTTCAATTAGCATAACTATTTAGGTTTTATTGTAGTAAAGTACTGTACTACTTACATGTGGAAATGCTTAAATCTCAAACCCACAATCACTTTATTGTTCTATTTCCATGACTAAACTAAGCTTGCTTGTTCTCAAAACCTCATATAGCTGTTAGATATGCATGACTGTTTCAGTTTAAGTTTAGTGTGAGTATTATGTTTTAGATTGTTTCCGAAACAGTACTACCTCTTCTCACCCAAAGCTATCTTGACCATGATTTGCCTTCTAAGCATTTCTAAAAATTTTTCATTAGTGAACCAGTCTTTTATACCTCTTCATTTTTTTGCCATTGCAGAAACATTTGCTGATCGTGTGACTACCCCCACCAATCATATTGTGCCACCTATAATAGTGTAGATAGCTCTGTATAGACATGTGTTTTAACTCATTCCCCATGTGACTACAAAATTTGGGTTGTGTTTGATCACAACTTTATATCAGTTTCAACTTCTTATGTTTGATTTCCATTGTTTTTACTTGTTTCTATTAGAAATGTTTCTATTTCCAAATTCTACTTTGTTCATATGAATTCGAGATTTGATATGGCGGATGTTGAAATTCCCACCATAAGTAGAATATTAGTCTCAGGGTCTGCTAGGGAAGCACAGGTTTATTTTGTGGGGACTCCATGTCTTACAATCAGCCTACAATTTTTCCTTTTAAATTAAGATTTTTGTGAAGAGGGATATAACTACTGTGTGTAAATTGTCTTTCTACAGCACTTTCCACCTGTTACTATTCCTCAACGTAATCTGCATTTGGAGTTTTATTATTCCTTTGTTTTTGTGTGCATTTTTACTTCTTTTCACTGTTAATGTTAATTTGTGTGTAAGTTCCTTTTTCTTTAGTATTAGTCACATCTAATTGGGGATTAGATCAGAGTTAAACTTTGTTATTGTTAACTGGGTCCTTTTTATTCTCATGTTTATTAGGGTTGATTTTATTTTCGTGGCCGTTGACTTGTAAGTTCGATATTTAAGGGTTGTTTATCTTCTAAGTTCCTTTTGTGGTTTTGTACTTTGGGTGTTACTTATTGTTTTCTGTTTTAGGTTGAATTTTATAGTTTTGCAGGTTTGTTATTTTTATGTACTTTACATGTTTCTACATTTTGTTAGCTTGTCAGTAATAAGTACTTTCTCTCAGTATGTTTAGCTTATATGTCTTTGGCTACACTTCATGACAGTTCCATGGGTTCTATGGGTTTTGTCTGTGGGTTTCTGCCTTCCGTTTTACTCCCCTCTATCCACTTCCCACATCTTCTTCCCTCCTCTTGAGGATCGTACTTTGTCCAGTAGTCTTAATGACTCTGTTCGAGACCTACTATACAAAGGAGCTGTCGAATGGGTGGTGCCCAATCAACTGGGATTTTAATCCCATCTATTTGTTGTCTCCAAAATACACGGGAGCTCGGAGTCACATCATAGCTCTTTCCTGGCTGTTTTCTTACCTGAAGATACCTTGCTTCACTCTGGAGTCCTACCTCTCACTTCAGTGGGTATTTTGCCACAATGTCCCATCATTTTTCCTTGGTTCATCCACAAGTGTTCTGTTTTCCTGTTCTGGACATTGCTGTTTTGTCTTTCTTCAGCTCTGTATGTTTTGTTGAGTGGTATGCTCTTTTGCACATCATCTTTACTCGCTGGGTCTATGAACTCCCTATTACATGGATGACTAGCTTTTGCTTGCCTCTTCCTGTGTCCAATCAGTCACTCACAACTACTTACTTCTTGGTGAAGATGCTTGGGTGAGGTTTCGGATCAAGTTAGAGAAACCCTTTACTACCCCCTCGCAATATCTTATTCATTTGAGCATTCTCTTCACTTTCCATCTCAGTCAAGCCCAGCCTTCTCCACTTTGGCTCTGGGATATGGAGCAGGGAGTCATGAAGGCCCTTCCTTCTCCTTCTCTCTCTTTTGGGATTATGGACTTCCTTGGAAGCTCTCATTCCCTTAAGTCGGGTACACACGTATTCCCTTCATTGGATGCTTCTTGCTCAGTGGAAATTCCCCCCAAGATCCCTTGGATCATTCTGTCTCCCTTCTACCTGGGATCAGGGCTGACCTCGCTTGGTGGGTTGACAGGGACTTGACCATGGTTGGGGTTCCCATTCCTCTGCCCCATACCAAGTCTCATCTGTTTACAGATGCTTCTTTGGTGGGCTTTCCTCGGTTCCCCACAGATTTCAGATCAGTAGTTCATTGAAGAGGCTACTCTCCAATTCCATATCCTTCAACCTTTCACAGTTCATCAGGATCTGTATCATTTTCTCACATTCCTGCAGGGGTAGGTGGTTATGGTTAATTCTGACAATACCACTGTTGTCAGCTATATTACCAAGAAAGGGGGAACCGAGTCCAGATTTTTGTGTTTTCAAACTCTGGATCACCTGTACCAGACCACAACATGACTGCTCTGGTGTGTCATGTTCCTGGAGTTATGAATCTTGTGGCTGATCATGTCGCAACTAGGTTTCCCCATGGAGTGGTCCCATCATTCTACAGTTTTTCTGTGGGTGTGTTCTCAACTAGGAACTCCTGCTCACTGGAATGCCAAACTTCCTTTCTTTTTGGTCTCCAGTTCCTCACCCCTCAGTTCTGTGGGTGGATGCTTTCAGTCTAGATTGGAGGGGTCTTCACCTGTATGAGTACCCTCTGATCAGACTCTTTGCCTGAGTCTTTCCCCTTATCCAGATCACTCCTTGTTGTTTTCTGCTGGTTAGTCCATATTGTCTGTCTTAGATGTGGTTCCCTCTGCTCTGGTCCTTACTGGAACTACAGTCCCTGCCCTTATCTCTGTCTCCTACAACCACAATTGGACTTTTTTCATTCCAACATCACCACACTCCAGCTTCATGTGTAGCATTTGTCCAGTTCTGTGCCTCAACTCTTGGACTTGTCTTTCGTATAGCATCTTTTCTTGCCTGTACCATTTGCCCTACCTCCTTGTCTATGTACTAGAGGCTTTGGTCTTACTTCAAACTTTGGTCTATTGGACATGGCTTCCGACCATCCCATCCTTCTGTTCCTCACCTGTCCCAGTTCTTCCTCTGGTTGTTTGTTCAGAGTTTGTCTGTTTCAACTGTTGCTCTTTTTAGGGCTGCCCTGTCCAAACACCTTCCTTTCTTCCACTTCCAGAATGCCTTCTCTTCCCCAGTTATTTCCCTCCTTTTCTGATCCTTTCATATGGTCCATCCTCCACATTTCTTTGTTCTGCCAGTTTGAGATCTCCATGCTGTCCTTCATGCCCTGTCTGGTTCTCCCTTTGAACCATTTGCAATGTGTTCTTTGTACCGATTTTCCCATAAGACCTATTTCCTTCCCCTCCTGGGATACAGTCATTGTCATTTTTATACTTATGCGATCAATGTTTCCCACATCCTGGACCATTCCTCATATGTCTTCCACTATCCTGATCAGGCCTTCCTTTTTCCTCCTGTTCAGATCCAGATTGTCTACTTTGCCCAGTTCCTTACCTGGTATGTTATGTGGCTTATACTGCTACCTTATGTGGTTCTCATTCCTGTCTCTTTGTTCCATGGAATTCCTCTGTTTCCCATGCTCTTTTCTCTTATTACACTCCCTAGTTGGGTTTGTCAACTGATACAACTGGTGTATTCTGATGTGTTCATCGACTGTTGCTGTCTACATCATGTTTCTTCCCATTAAATTTGTCATCTAATTATGTCTTTAGCTGCTCGCAACCTCTGTGTTTTGGAGAAGATCATTCAAGCTGGTATGTGGACAACTCCCAATACATTTGTCACTCTCTATCAGCACAACATAGCTCTGTCTTTCGAGCAGGTATCATCTTCCTTCCGTGGTGATTCTACACACATCTGTTTGCCTTTGCCAAGTCGACATATTATCCTTTTTACATTAATTCGTTGATATATATATATCATATTTTAGGATCCCATTTAATGGCAGGTATTGCCTGGTCAGGTATGCTGGATATTATATCTTGGCACTAAATCTGTATACTTCCATAATGTTCACTGTGGAGATGGGATGTTTTCGTAAGACCACCAGCCACTTATTTGATGGTGTGTGAATATCTATATCTTTTTTTTCTTATCGCTGTATCATATCTAAAGGACTATCATTCATGGGCTTAAAGAGAAAAGCAGATGGGGATTTTTGGCCATCCCTACTGACCCATGATTCTAACAATTAGGGTCTTTTTGCTTTTCAAAATAGGGAATCACAGACACCCATTGCACTGTCTCCAGTGTGTCGTCCTCTGGACTCCTCAATGCGCATTTCCCACCCCTTTTCTTCTAGTGGAGCATGGGAATCCTTGCACTTTCAGGTTCCCAGTCACTGGAGTGGTGGACCATGGAGGTTTCCTCTGGACTTCTCAATGCGTATTTCCCACCTCTTTTCTTCTAGTGGAGCAAGGGAATCCTTGCCACTTCCAGGTTCCCAGTCACTGGAGTGGTGGACCATGGAGGTTTCCTCTGGAGTGGGATTTGTACAATAAAACAAACTTCATAGTCATATGTACCCACTCTTCGCTATATTTCATATTATACGATATCATAATATGCTCAATCCAAGGTGCTTCTCCCGAATGTTTTTTGCCCAGGTAGACCACACTTGTAGATCATGAAATAAAAATTTTATGCAAGGTGCTTCCACTGGATTTTTTCTGCCTGGAAGGACCACACTAACTAAACTCATTAAAACACAAGGTGCTTCTCCCAGATATTTTTGCCAGGGCTGACTGCAATTGTAGATCATGAAATACAAATTTTATGCAAGGCATTTGCACTGGATGTTTTCTGCTTAGATGGACTGCACTTGACATAATCCAACGTATATCAAGGTGTTTTGCCAAGACTGAACACACATGGCTATCTTAATATAAATGCAATGTGCTTTCCCTGGATGTTTTATGTCCGGGCAGGCAGCACAGATCTTACAGTCTTATGCAAGGCGCTTCTCACAGTTGTTTTTGACTAGATGAACCACATTTGGCATAATCTGACATATCCTAAGGCACTTTCTCTGGATGTATTTTGTCGGGCGGACTGCACTTTACCTATTCATATACATTTATGGCCCTTTAGTCCTAGCCATGCTTTCTTATATCTGATTCCAGGTACCTTCTTCAAATCTGATTATGATTGTGTCACATGCTCATATATATTGTTATATATGTAGACATCTAACATACTATATGTTGTCTATGGGTAGAATCTGTATTACATGACATGGTGCCTGTCTATTAAGTTCTGCCCTATATGTCTTACTTTGTTCTTTACTGGCAAAGAGCATACTTGTTCCAGAAGTAGTGCTATACCCCTCAAGTGTGCCTTCTTTTATAATTGTGGCACACCTATTCTTTCATAGCGATTGTTCTCTGCTTGTTTGAATACTTTTCCACCTTCACCAGACACTCCACCTTTGCAATGTGGGGGTTCTAGCTTTGGGTGAGAGATGGTAATACCGTTTCGGAAGTTGACATTTTCTAACACTGAAAATGTATTTCCTATAGGTACTTACCACTTCCCGCCCTTCCTCCCTACTGATTTGCCAATGTATCTGTCAATTCTCGAAAGTGAGGATTGTGCTGCAATGGTAGAGGGGGCTACCTACACTATTATAGGCAGTACAGTATGATTGGTGGAGGGTAGTCACATGATCAGCAAATGTTGCTGTAATGGCACAAAAATGAAGAGCAAATCAAGGTCAAGATAGCTTTGGGTTAAAGGAGGTAAGTACCTATCAGAAATATATTTTTAGGGTTAGAAATTGTTAAATTATATAGTGTGGGTATCATATTTAATTATTTTTAGAAGCAAAAGTTTATGGCAAATTTGTTTGCACAATTTTTTAGGAATCATATGTTGCATAGGGTGTTCGTTCAATTGTTATGAGTTAGTGATTGTTTTATTATTGCATCATGTTACTAGAACTTTCTGAATTTTTCTTGTTATAATTGAGTATTATTGTATCAGAATATCTAGTATTGCATGGAATGTTCTAGACTTCTATCAGGGTATAAATACGTTTTGAAAGATTATTATGTAGATCTAGACTGCATGATTGTGAGTTTAGTGATAAAGAGCATGTAGTGGTGATTTTTAACAACACAGACTGTATTTTAATAACAGAGCAGAGAAAAATAATTCATATTATCAGTTGTGTTCTAAAGTAATTGAACCAGCCTGTGTAGACTTTGAGGAAAAATAGACAATTATTTATAGCTCTGGATACAACTATGCTAACCAACAGTGTAATGAGCATTTGTATATATGTTTGACTTGTTTTAATATATTATTTTAAAACAAGTGGATTGTTTTGCTATTTGTTTATTGTTGAAATTTATTGCCAACAAGTCACAGGCACCTACAGTAAAGAATCCGACCTACAAAACCTTACAGTAGCAATACAGCTTTGGGCTTCCAATTACTAAGTGTCAACAGAAGCCATTGCTTGCAACTATTTTAAGCCAAAACGTGCTAATGCTTCATCAGAATGTAGACTATGTAGAAAATGTAAATTACCATAAGCAGCTGTGCTATAGCTATATAAGTATAATTTGTTTACGTCACAAAATAGAGTTTGGCCAAACAACCTCAAACCCCTTGCATATGTGCTTTGTTGAACATGCAGCTGTTCTCGACTCTACTTCATGAACAGTCATTAGCTTATAAATTGTATAATTTAACATAGTTTTAGTATCACCCTCAGTTCACTTTTTTTTTCATGTTGTAATTTTCAAGAATATTTTAAATATGCAATTGAGTCAAAATGAGGGTTTATCCCTCCCCCTTTTTTGAAATTAAGATTACTTTATCTTTTAGTGCTCAACAACTTGTGGATGGGGAAGACAAGAACGTTTTTATTATTGCCATCAAAACAATAAGTCAGTTGATTTTTCCATGTGTGGGCCATCAACTCCATCTGAAATCAAATCCTGCAAAATGAGATCTTGTATTTTTCATTGGAGAAAGGGAAAGTGGAATAAAGTTTGTATTTAACCAGTTTACTTGTTTCTGTTTTAACCCACCAAAGATTCATGGCTGCATAAAACTTGTTTTTATATTTACTATCATTGTATTCTTGATTTGTTATTTATAATTCTACATTTTGTGCTATAAGTCTTCAAAATTCTTTTTTACAGTTTGAAATAATATTCCATATTGAGAGATACACAAAAGTTACTGTTTTTTTTTTGTATATGTAATTATATACACAGTGTTTTTAATAACATATAGAAATTTCATGCAAAAACAGATAGTTGTTGGATTATTTTTCCTTAAGCGGTCAGCTTATTTTATTGTAATCTTTAATGTTCTATTAATTTATTATTGTAAGTAGTGAATCTTCTGTAAAAGATAGAAAGGACTGTGAGCTTAGCATTTGTCTTAATACTTCAGTGCAGTGCCACATGTGGACATGCAGTTAAGAAACGTAAAGTAATTTGTACTGACCTCCATGGTAAAGTCACTGAAGACAAGATGTGCATGCCCAAACAGAAACCCAGGCTAACTCGGAAATGCAGGCACATTCCACCATGTCCTTACATATGGAAGACTGGAGAATGGTCTTTGGTAAGTCTTATTTGAGCACTCCAACTGTAGTATATAAAGTGTGTCTATTATCTTCATTGTTAGTACACAAAGATAAGGCATTTATTGGTAGCCAGATAGATTAGTCAAGTTGTTATGGGATATATATAAACACTTGGACATTTGTTGATTAATGTCAATGTTCATATTTAATTAAAATTTTCAAAAGTTACATTTACCCTAGTTTAGACTATTCAAACTATTCCAATGTTCTCATGGCACTGGAAAAAGCAAATTCTCACAACTGATGTGATATTTCCATAGTACTCAAAAAATAATATTAGTAATAACCTTATCATTATTTTACTCTCATAATAACAACATATTACCTTGGATATACACAAATAATAACTCAAAATCACACACCATATTGCAAAAAAATATCAACATGGGGCACATCTGTATGAAAGTCAAAAGTACCTTAAAAACATCAAAATTAGAAACACATAATTATTTGGTATTTTAGTGTGATGTCACTATAGTAGGGATCCATTGTTTACTGTACTAATCTTCTGTAGTCTGTAGACCCAACTCTATTTCAAAAAGATAAAGATTTACGCTAGAAACACACTTAATAATGAGTATGATTTAACCAAGAATATGATCATTGTAAAACATTTTTATGGTGTAGTAATTAAATCAAAAACTTTTTTCTGATACACAATTCTGTGAAGTTCCCCCTCGACGTGGA